CACCCAGGCTGGAGTACAGTAGCACTATCTCGGCTCACTGCAACTTCCGCCTCCTGGGCTCAAGCCATTCTTCCACCTCAGCCTCTCAAGTAGCTGGGACTACAGGGGCACACCACCACACCTGGCTAATTTTTGTATTTTTTGTAGAAACAGAGTTTTGCCATGTTTGCCAGGCTGTCTTGAACTCCTGGGCTCAAACAATCCTCCTGCCTCAGCCTCCCAAAGTTCTGGAATTACAGGCGTAAGCCACTGTGCCCAGCCCATCCTCTCCTTTTCTTGAAGTATTATTACAGTAACCATTAGAGCATTTCTTTGGAATTTGAGCTTCCTGGAATCTTAGAAACTCATCTGTTTGATTTCAGCCTGCAGTGAGATGGGGTTGTGTGGGGACCTGCTGCCTGAACTTCCTGCCTGTTTCTCTACTGGCTAAAGAGTTTAGTTATAGATTTAAGGTTGTTGTTATCAGTAGTGCAGATAATTGCAGAAGACTAAATTGTGTATGTGTATGAAAGAGTGTGTGTGTGTGTGTGTGTGTGTGTGTGTGTGTGTATTGGGACCTGCTGCCTGAATGAACTTTCTGCTTGTTTCTCTACTGGCTAAAGAGTTTAGTTGTAGATTTAAGGTTGTTATTATCAATAGTGCAGATAACTGCAGAAGACTAAATTGAGTATGAGTGTGTGTGTGACCCATATCCAGTTAAAATGAAAAATGGAAGTCAGTTATATACTTCTATATAGTTACTATTTTTACTAAAAATATTTTTATGGGAACAGTTGAATTAGGATTTGGTTATTTATTTCTGAAGAACTTCATCTTCTGTAAAAGATTTCTAGAAGTAGTTTGTTAATTTAAGTACTGTTGAGTTTTTGTTACAGATTATTAACCTATCAATGGTGCAGTTGGGAGACAGAGATTTGAAGCTAGAATATACACTTATTTGTGGGAGTTGAAAGTCAAAATAATTGAAGCCATGGAGATAGAAAGTAGAAGAATGGTTACCAGAGGCTAGGAAGGGTTGTTGTGCGGTGAAGGGGAACTGGGGATGGTTGATGGGTACAAAAAAAAATAGAGTGACTAAGATCTTGCTATCACAGTAGAGTGATTATAGAATTTATTGTACATTTAAAAATAACTATAAGAATATAATTGGGCTAGGTGCAGTGGCTCACACCTGTAATCTCAGCATTTTGGGAGGCCGAGGTGGTAGATCACCTGAAGTCAGGAGTTCAAGACCAGCCTGGCCAAAATGGTGAAACCCTGTCTCCACTAAAAATACAAAAATTAGTCGGTTGTGGTGGTGTATACCTGTAGTTCCAGCTACTCGGGAGTCTGATGCATGAGAATCGCTTGAACTTGGAAGGCGGAGGTTGCAGTGAGCTGGGATTGCACTGCTCCACTTCAATTTGGGCAACAGAGCAAGATCCCGTCTCAAAAAAAAAAAAAAAAGAGTATAATCGGTTTGTTTTGTTTGTAACACAAAGGACAAATGCTTGAGGTGGTAGATACCCCATTTACCCTGGTGTGATTATTATGCATTGCATGCCTGTTTCAAAATATCTCATGTACTCCTTAAATATATACACCTACTATGTATCCACAAAAGTAAAAATTTTAAAAAAGAAAGCTAGAGTTATAAAGGCATTCACAATTAAAAGTTAATCAGAAATTAAGTAAAACTTTCTGGAGTCCATCCACAGGCTACGTTTTTTTCTTTTTCTTTTTTTTTTTTTGAGACTGAGCTCACACTGTGGCCCGGGCTGGAGTGCAGTGGCATGATCTCAGCTCACTGCAAGCTCCACCTCCCAAGTTCAACTGATTCTCCTGCCGCAGCTTCCTGAGTAGCGGGTATTACAGGCACCCACCACCACACCCGGCTAATTTTTTGTATTTTTAGTAGAGACAGGGTTTTACTATGTTGGCCAGGCTGGTCTGGAATGCCTTGACCTCGTGGTCCACCTGCCTCAGGCTCCCAAAGTGCTGGGATTATAAGTGTGAGCCACCGTGCCCAACCCAGGCTACATTTTTCTTCTTCTCATTAAATACTTATCAAGTGCTGTGCTTTACTACTCAAAGATGATGAAACTTTGCCCCAGTTTTCCTGTAAAGAATTAGAAGCCCAAAATAAGGAATTCTTTTCGCCTCTTTGGTACTCCAATGCTTGCCTTATGAAGCTCTATACATAGACATATTTTGGAGTTCCAGAAATATTACTTGAGGTTTTGATTCAAACAAAGAGAGAACAATCACCTCAGGCAATAATAGCTGTGGCTAGGGAAAAGGATACATGTGGCAAATTTCTAGGCAAGGTTTGTGAAGATAAATCTGAGGGGAATTGAGCTGTGACCATTTAAATAATGCATTTCTTAGTGACTTTCAGGCTCATCGATCAAAATTTTAAAATGAAACAGATATGAAAATAACTGAAAGCCACAAAATGACTTCTCAATGCCATTATCCTTTTCAACTAACCGTAATATTTAATGCACATTTAGAGTATTATTGATTTTTTTAAAACTTGTTACTTTAAATGAGTACCCCATAACATTACTTTCTTAGATATTTATTTTTTTACTTCTTAAATACAAATTATTTTTCTTATAGAATATTTCACTAAAGTGCTAATGTAAATCTCAGAAAATGTGCTATTTATTAATCTAATCCAGAACTCTGAAAATGTTTATAATTTGAGTTGTATTCTATCAAGGACCAAAACAACTGAAAGTTTCCAAATAGTAGCTGTATTATATTGTATATAGTGTAGGAGAGAACGATTTGCTCCTCTTATTGAAGATGAAACAATAAAAGTGTAATATTTTAGGCTAAAGATTTAGCAACCCTCTGAAAAATTAAATAAGAAATTATGTCATATGATCCAATTAATGTATACACGTTTATGTTGTGTATATGCATATGTATTTTATGCACACAAACACACACATACACATTTAAATAGCGTGGTTGTGTATCAGAATGCTACCAGTGGTTTTCTTGCAGTAAACCATGAGCTTTTAAATTCTTTGTTCATATATTCAAAAAGTTCTACTGTATGTATGTATTTGCATATTTAAAATTTAAAAATCAATAGTAAAGAACCCTTAAAAAACCCAAATGGTGATCTCATTACATGTAGTAGTGGACCAGAAACTGTGCTGCTATAGTAAGTAGGTAGTTAATGCCTACCTCCAGAATAGGCTTGACAGACATCTTGCCCTGATATTTAGCTTCAGGGCTCCAGAAGCCTTTTATAGAGTGGTGTCTGCATGTTGAAAATCATATGAAGAGCTTAAATACCTGTGCCTGGGTGCTTTCCCTAGAGACTCTGATTTTTGTTATGAGATGTAGTTTGGTCAGTAGGACTCTGAAGTTCCCTAGGTTATTATAAGATACAACCAAGGTTGAGAACTACCCTATACAAAGCCTATGTTGAACGCTGTGCATGTTATTTTCACCTGTGTTTGTTGTTGTTATTGTTGTTGTTTGTTTTGAGATGAGATCTGCTATGTTCCCCAAACTGGTTTCGAACTCCTGGGTTCAGGTGATCCTCCTGCCTCATCCTCTTGAGTAACTGGGATTATAGGCATGTGCCACCACACCCTTCACCTGTTTTTTAAAGCTATGTTTTAGTGTCCAGCGTCCCACTGAATTAATAGAGTAACATGAAAGACTGTTGTATTCTCTGCCTCTAAGTTTTCCTCCCTCTATTCTTTCTTCTACATTGTCACAATAATTTTCTAAAGCATGAAATAATTGTGTCATTGCCCTGCATGAAAGCCTTTAATTATCTGTTCTTTTCAGGTTAAAGTGTAAGTTCCTTATCTGGTCCCAACCTATTTTTTGTTTTATCTCTTGTTAGTCTAATGCTAGAGATGCAGAACTCTGTTCATACTTAACTGTTCCTTCTGTAGGCCTTTTTTTTCATACCTGCCTTTGCATATGCTGTTTTCTTTGTCACTCGTTTTCATCATAGCTCAAGAATAGATCCAGAAACAACGTTTATTGGAATAGAATGAAACTAGCATTTATTGGACTCATTAACTAAGGACTGTACTAGGTACTTTAAGTAACTCTTATAATCCTCATAGCCATACCTAAGAAATGGTCATTTTCCATGCTGTACGGATGGGAATCTGAGGCTTTTAGGGGATGAATAACTTGCTTAAAATTACACAACTAGTTGTAGGCAAATATGGTATTTTGAACTTCATGTCCAGTGTTTGTTTCTATGGCCTTCCTCCACCCACTTCACATTGCTTCAGTAGTAAATAAATTAGCAATCACATTGCCCATGTGATGATTATCATAACCTCTTTCCAAAAATAGTATGCATAAACATTTGATGTTTTCATACTTGTTTTGAATTCTGTATAGCAGAAAGAAATAAATTTAATAGTCTTAAATGGTAGAATAATCACAGTATTGTTCTGTGTATAATCAGTTTTAGTACTTTTTTGTGATGATCTGAGTATCATTGAATTGTGTATTCCTGTATGTTTACATTTTAAGTCTTTTCTGTGATGTCCTCATAAAGTACTGAGCACTTTCACTTTTCCTTTACTGCATTTTAACGCCTCTTCTGCAGTTCTTGTTTGGGCAAAATTTCCTACATTTTTCACTATCCCACAAATTGGCTGAGTAAGATTTGTACATAATTTATACAGAAATTAAAGTGTTTTCAACCATAAAATTCAGTCAAGCTCATTTTCTGCCCATGTGAAGAGGAAAATTGAAAAGTTACATATGTAGATAATTTTTGTAATCCAAAGGACAGCCTGTGAAACCTTAACAGTCTCTGTGTGGGAAAGTGTTACAGTTTAACAAGAAGTTAATTTGGACAGTGTTGAAACTTTGAGATTTTTTTGGCTGTTAAGATAAATTTGGTAAAATGTAATATAGTTGGTTCCCTTATTGATGATTCCCAGAATTTTTTTAGTGTTCCTAATTGTGTTATTCTTTTGTGATTATTGTTTTACATCTAATTTGAATAACTTTTCCTTCATTAGAATGTGAAAGATGTTGCAGAAGTGTTCCAGAAGTGGCTGAAGATAGAAGGAAAGAAGTGCCACTGCCTATCAGAAAAAACAAAACAAAACAAAACATGGGAAATACAACCACCAAATTCCGTAAAGCACTCATCAATGGTGATGAAAACCTGGCCTGCCAAATATATGAAAACAATCCTCAGCTAAAAGAATCTCTTGATCCAAATACATCTTATGGGGAGCCCTACCAGCACAATACTCCATTACATTATGCTGCTAGACATGGAATGAATAAAATTTTAGGGTAAGTATTACTATAAACTAATTGGTATTAGGGTATTACCGTAAACTAATTGGTAACAAAGTGGTGAAAGAAAAAAGAACTATGATTTTTGAAAACACAGACATACACAGACACAATATATATACAAACACGTGCATGTAATATGGTCTTGTAGTGAATTAAACTTTCTAAAACCAAATATACCTAAATATTTGATATGATTTTCTTTATTATGATTTAGTAAAATTTTCTTTATTATATCTGAATTAGTCCAAAGCTTTTAATAGTGAGGTAGGTTCATGTGTTCTTGTTACTATAAATATATTTTGATCCTCAATGTTTCATAGTATGAATTCTTGGTAATAATATATTTAATTTATAACATTTCAATTCTAGAACAATACTTGTCAGCTGTCAAAGAAATGCAGGGAATGGTGCCAAAGGCAAAGTTCTAAACTCTGATTAGCTATTTTTAGTTAAAAAAATGGGTGCATTTGCCTTTTCTAGTCATGATCAGTTTGAATTTCCTTTCTTTTAATGGGATTCAGTTATTTGAAAAGACGTTTCTAAAATCCAAACATTTTCTTAAAACTGAAAATACTAAGAAACTTTAAAAAATATCTATTCAACAAGAAAGCTTTAGTGACATAGCAAATCTATTTATATGAAGATTCTTACCTGATCACATGGGAATTACATTTGATATTTACTAGCTTATAAAATAAAAGGAACAAAGAATAGAACAGTAATTACAAAGCAAGGTTAATTTTTTTTAGAAGTAGATTATGCAGGTATAGAAGTCTGATGCTAGAAGGGAACGGAAAAAAATGCTTATTTTCTTATGGAGTGAAATATAATTCTAGAACTAGTATTCAAAGCTTTTTTGAACTTGATAAAAAAAAAACTTAATATTCAGCCTTTTTCGTATTTCTTCCATGTACAAATTCTTGTTCCAATTAAGCTGCTTTTTTTGCTATCTCCAAAACATGCCATGAGGTTTCTGTCTGCCATGTTCATACTGCTCTCTTGGCCAGGAGTATCCCCCTCTTTCTCACTCCTCTCACTTTTTCCTTTCTTACCTATTTTTTTTTTTTTAATAGAAACAGGTTCTTGGTCTATATATCACTCAGGCTGGAGTGTAGTGGTGTGATCATAATTTGCTGTAACCTCAAACTTTTAGACTCAAGCTATCCTCCTACCTCAGCTTCCCAAGTAGCTAGGACTACAGGCATGGGCCACTATAGCCAGCTAATATTTTGTGTATTTTTTGTAGATCTGGGATCTTGCTGTGTTGCCCAGTCTAGTCTTGTACTCCTAGCCTCAAGCCGTCCTCTCACTTGGCCTCCCAAAGGGTCTTTTTTATCTAAATTTTGCTCTTCAAGATCTTGTGTGTACCTCACCTATCTACTTAGGTTGTCATAACCCATAGGAACCTCTGTCTTTTTTTAAAAACTTTTATGGCTCTTTATCATTTGTTTGTGTGCCTCACATATTTGCTGTACATTACCTATTATGTTTTACAATTTTGTATAGCTTCTCTCTGCCTACCTGTATTAACAACTTCTTTTAAGGTATCTTCTTTGTACTTCTAGCATCTAGCATAGTATTTTACACAGAGTAAATAGAAGTTCTATAAAATCATTACACAAAGAAATATTTTTATTAGGATTTATGAATGAGAAAAATTTCATAAATAATTCAGATCATCCAGGCCTATGACTTTATTAGGTTTATCTTGATTTTTATAGGTATTTCTTTTCTCATTTTTTTGCTTTTATCTTTCATTTTTATTTCTCTAAAAATAGATACTTAGAAGCCACCTCCAGCTTAGCTTGTTTAAAATTTTATATTTTCCCTCCCAAAACTGGGCCTTCCCCCGTTAATGACACCAGCATATTATGCTGATGTAATAATGGCAAATGTTTATTGAGGGCTTACTGTTTAATGGAGCTATTAACAGTGCTGTACATGCATTATCTGAATCCTCATTACAATTTTATGAGGTAGTTTATTGTCTGTACTTTGTAGGTGAGAAAACTGAAGCACAGTAAGGTCTCACAACTTGTAACTGGCAAAGCTTGTTGCCCAGGTAGACGACTGTAAGCTTTGGGCTCTTAACCACTGTACTGACAGCCTCTTATTTCTATAGTCATATCAGCTATGTGTCAGGGCTGCCCGTCACTCATTAGCAAAGCAAATTACTTAGTCACTCTGGACTGCAGTTTTCTTACCCGTGTAATGGATACTTACCTCACAGAACTTGCAGGACAATTAAGCAGTTACTGTGTTATATGTCTATTATGCTGCCTAACATACAATATACACTTGCTAATGTTTATTACTTTTCACCGCTATAATCCTTACTATGTTTAAATCATCCTTGATTTACTCTTCTCCTTTACTACCATGCTACTAAGTTCACTAAGTCTCACTCTTGGATTTACTTCTTTCCATTCCTTTTACCCTAAACTTAGTTCACTCTTAATCATGCCCTGCTCCTAATACTTAAAAGTATCTGGCCTCTAAATGGTATTTTTTTACAAGTCTTTTCCTCTTATAGTGTAATGTCCAGATTAATTTTACTAAAGCGTATGCTTTCATTGTTCTTTTTGTCTTGAGAAAGTTATAATACCTTGTTTTCTACATTATATTCTATTTGGCTTTCAAAACTCTCTTTACTTCTGCCTTCATTCTACTCAGTAAGCCTGTTCTCTTGTTACTTTCTAGCATGATCTTGCCATTCAAAGTGGTTGATTGACTTCCCCCTTGCTTTTCCCCTTTTTAAGAATGCTACCCACTTAGCTTCATTCCAGTTGTTTCTGGATTCTCAAATGGCTTCTCTCTTCTCTAATTACCTGTCCTTTAAGTCCTCACTCAGTTTCTGCCGTATTTGTGAATTCATCCCCAACTACTCTGACCTACAGTATTTCTGTTCTCTGATATTCCTACAATTTACATTTAAAATCATATTATTATTATTATTACTAAACTCATCTCTGCTAGAATGTAAATGTTATAAATACAGTGCTAGATACCTAGTTTGTTCTCAATAGATTGTGGATTACTAATCTATTAAGGCTTTTTAACATGACCTTTTTGTATTGTTTTATTTAAGTTGAACATTTTAAGTGAAATTATAAAACTTGATATATTACAAAATTCCTAATATTGGATACTTCAGTAATATTTAATATCAAATATTATATATGATTGATTAAAACATTTATAATACCAATATAAAATGTATTTAAATATTGTTATTACTAAGGTAATGTGTATATTTTAACATAAACCAAATAGTAAAATACTTTTTAACCCTTTATAGTAGAGTTTACAAATATACTTTATGTAAGTGGAAAACATTATATAAGAAAGTCATTTAGTACAATGATTCTTAAAATATGTTCTGAGGACTCCTGGATCCTGAGATTCTTTCAAAGAATACATGAAGTCAAAACTATTTTTATAATTATACCAAGATACTATTTGCCTTTTTAAGTGTGTTGGCATTTGTAGTGGTAGTGCAAAGAATAGAGGATAAAAATGCTGGCACCTTTAAGGTGAATGAAGGTAGTTGCACCAAACTGTATTAGTAATCATTGTATTCATCACTGTTAGGCACTTGCAGTTTAAAAAAAAAAAAAAAAAGGCAGTTTCCCCTAAAAAAATCTTCAATTAAAACAGTCAAATTAATTTTAATTAATCTCCATCCTTAAGTAACACATCTTTTTAATATTCTGTGACAACTTCAAAGTATACATAAAACATTTCTGCTACATACCAAAATACGACAATGACTCTGAGGAAACGCACCTGTGCTGTTGTTTGAATTGTGAGTTAACTGCGTACTGTTTTAATGGAACACCATTTTACAACTAGCAACAACAAGAAAACAACGGTTGTTCAGACTTGGGTACTTAGCTAACATTTTCTTGAAAATGAATTGAGTCTGTCAATTCAGGGACAACTACTGCCCGTTATTTGTTGCTAATGATAAAATTTGAGCTTTCAAGTGATTATTAAAATCCAGGAAAACTTGTGTTCACTACCTTCAGCTCAACAACTTCTCAACACAGACTTTTCTGATAAAATTGACGATTATAGCTTTTTATATTATTTAATGAAATGTGACATCTGGAAGATCTGCATAACCCAGTGAATCAATATTTTTGAGAAGATCAGTGTATGATTTTTTAAAATTATGTATGGTTGAAAAATATATTCAAAATGTAAGATAGACCAATGGACTTTAATGTAACAGTACAAAAAAGACATTGATAACGTTTCAGATACTACGTTGCAACTAATCTTTGAGAAATTACTGATGTTGAATTTTTGATATAGTATCAAATACGAATATTCACTATTATCTGAGACAGATATTTAAAAACATTTCTGCCTTTCCTAACTATATAGAGGCTGGATTTTCTTTATATAGTTAAACCAAAACAATACATTACAACAGATGGAATCCTGTGAAAATCCAGCTGTCTTCCATTAGACTAGACATTAAAAGAGATTTGTAAATATGTAAAACAATGCCACTCTTTTCACTTAATTTTTTAAAATATAGTTATTTTTATTTTAAAATGTTGTGTTAATGTATAATGGGTTTATTTTTAAAATTAATGTATAACTCATACAAACAAAAACTCTTAGGAACCTACAGTAATTTTTTTTTTTTTTCCTGAGACAGGGTCTTGCTCTGTTGCCCAGGCTAGAGTGCAGTGACACAATCACAGCTCACTGCAGCCCCGACCTCAGGCTCAAGCAATTTTCCTGCCTCAGCCTCCCAAGTAGCTGGGACTACAGGTGTGTGCCACTATGTCTGGCAAATTTTTTTTTTTTTTTTTTTGTAGAGATGGAATTTTGCCATGTTGGCAGGCAGATCTTGAACTCCTGAGCTCGAGTAGTCTGCCCTTCCTCGGCCTCCCAAAGTGCTGGGACTACAGGCATGAGCCACCACGCCTGGCCAGTAATTTTTAAAATTGTGTAAGGGTCTTGTAACCTAAAATATTTTA